AGAGAGAGAGAGAGAGAGAGAAGAATCAGAAGAAGAAACAACTGTTGCGAGCGCGTAGCAACCCCGCCGAACACAAAAACGGGGGAAAATTGGGCGACAAAATTCATACAAGTCTTAATTTCTCATTACAAAAAAATTCAATATACAGGATGTCCGTCACTTAAGGACGGATTTATCGGTTCGTCAGGAGTCGATAAGGTTCAATAAACGTACGTCCGAAACGCTGCTCTGCAGATGTCCTTACAGGAACACTGTAGGCTTTCGGAGGTATGTCTGATACACGCGACGTTTCGGGAGTTGGCTCTAATCCCGTCTTCAGATAATTGATTAAAATGATGACACATTTTATATTATTATCGATAGAGATATCCTATTGCGAGGCACTGTACATGTTTTGTGCGTAAATGAATGTTACAATCTATGTGTGTGCGTGCATGCGCGTATACAAAATACACTGTCTCAAACATCAATGAAAAGTCATCATGAAAGATACTACAAAGAAACAAATTATTGAGGTGGGATTCAAACCGCGGCCCTTCACAAGTTACTTTACATCGAAAAATACTGAGTATTACGTTCAACTGAAATAAAAATGTACAACATAGTCTTTAAATCTAAAACTTCTTGACGATGGTGAAGAGTCAATTGAATAAAAATTTACTTGGATATTATCCATCGTCTAGTAAATATAAAACGTAAAACGACGTTTCGGAGATGGGACTCTATCTCCGTCTTCAGGTTCCTACACAGTTGGGCCCACTAGAGCTAATCCCTATCTCCGGACCTACATAGGGATTAGCTCTATCTAGTCGGCCCAGCTGTGTAGGAACCTGAAGACGGAGATAGAGTCCCATCTCCGAAACGTCGTTTAACGTTTTATATTTACTAGACGATGGATAATATCCAAGTAAATTTTTATTCAATTAGCACAGTCTTTCATCAACTAATTATATTTCTTTGACATTTAACATACACATAAAATAAGTACGTGGCCAGGGGCAGAATTAAAAAGGTTTTCAGAACAACCCAAAAGGCTAGTGAGTTTTACCCCAGAGGGCATACAAACAACGCCCACATTACTTACAGAACTGCTGTTTCGCTGCTAGCCGGAGTGAGGGGTTACCTGCCACGATCAACGTTTTATTTCCGTTTCCTTTGATGTAGAATTAGCAGACGTGGGCCCTGCCCAATACTGAAATCCAATGCAAACTTCCCAGCGGAAAACTGACATATTCCTATGATTCACCAGTACAGTTCCGATTTTCAGATCACGGAGAAAATAGTTGGCAGGGCATACAGAAAGCAAGAGAAAGACATGAAATATACAGGCTTATTCGGTTATTCTTTCGAAAAAACCTAAAGAGAATACACCTCCTGGAAGACCCGGGGTGGATAGGAGGATAATATTAAAATGGATCGAGGGAATGGGTCAAAATTATCATGACATTGAACTGGAAAGAATTTGTTCGGTAAAAGGTGAGTCGGATAAAGGATTAATAGTGGCAGAGCAGCCAACAGCGAGGAAGTCAATAATACTTTAGGGCATTTTAGGTAATTTTAATAATAATAATTATTATTTCAACTATGTGAAACCTAACCTCTCTGGTAAATACTCTTCTTTGCAAATCTGTATATTCACAAACACAGGAAGTGATAAATCTGCAGTCTGGCAAACTCCTAACAAGAGCAAATCAAATTTCCTCTCACCTTCAAAATATATTCCTTTGTTTTTTATGGAAACTGAATGAACAATTAAGTTGCGTAATTCTCTATTCAAGAATGGCAAATCCCGTCAATCGCTCTTGTGCCACTGTTGTTCGGGGGTCGGTCCTTATCAATTTCCCCGTTACTTAACACTGAGATGTAAATTATTGTTGATGAAGACTAATACGATACTAAGCTGTCAACAACTGCCAATTACTCAGAAACATAACAATAGCATTTTATGAAAAGCATTTAAACACACGAACGGGATTTTGTTTAACTTGCTAGAGAAGTTACATTTTCTCAATAAGGTTTCTGCTTCAATCTTTTGTTCGTTGAAGTTTAAAATAAAGTCACTGATAACATCTGCAATTTTATACACTGTAAAATATTAAATTCAACAATTTATAGTGATTATAGCATCAAGACAAATGTATATCAATCGACTGACGTGGACGATAGGAAGCTCCGAAGATAAGTTAGTCACTTTATTTACCGACGACAACGATTCATAGCCACAGAACATTGGAATATCTCTAGGATTACTTCATACAGATTTGATTCACGCGAGCAAACACAGCGCCCAATTCAGTCTCGTCCGCTCATGTAAAATACAACAACGACAAAAGACTTTAGATGCTATCGACTCAATGTCACGTGATGCGTTTAAACTACCCGAGGCACCCAAACAAAATGATAACGACTTATCTGTTCTTGTTTCATTGTTGTGTGACGTATCGCAGTTGCCATTTTGTTTGAGATTTTATTGATCTGACAGCCACGAAGATGAAGGACATCCTAGGAACGTGGAAATGCACTCTGCGGATGACAAGAATTACCCCGTTTCTGTCTATTGTGCGCGTACGTGTTAACACGCTGTTAACGAGCGAACATGTGGTACATGGTCTGCCGATAACGAGATGTTGGTCAGCGTTCCTGATACCGTACACATTACCATTCAAGTCTAGCGATTTTTTGTGATGTGTAAGGGAATTATGAACAAACCTGTACAAACTACAATCCTGATTACGTGGATATAAATGTTAATTTCTTACGTCGAAACGTCAGGTCTCATGGCGCACCAGGTCATTCAACTACAACTGGTGGGGGTGCCCTCGGCTGAAATCTACCGGTGTTAACGCAGACTGCAGGACCAGCGGGCGAAGCCTGGGAACCTCATTACAAAACGATGTTCTTTCTCGCCCACCAGAGAAGAAATTTCTTTCGAGTCTCCCCCATTGTCCCCCCCTCTTATTCCATTCTTCCAATGTCTGACCCTCAGTTGGCATTCCACGGGTCTCCAATGGCCATCTTCGCGGTCTTAGCGACAGGACGGGTGAGCAGTAGCTACCGGTCTGCTGAAGGAACAACAAATTTCCCTGCGTTACCGTGTTCTGATGACGTAAGTCGGCTTTCTGCCTCGAGGTTTCCGATTCTCCTGTTTCATCCTGGCCAATACCTTGGGGAAAATATTCCGGCAACACCACACACTCGGGTGCCACGCGTTGTGGCTCAGGAGGGCTGTTAGGGGCAGCGATCAAAGAGGTGCAGACGTTCGGCGCGCGCGGGGGGTGGGGCGGCTTCCTCATGGACTGCTAACCTTGAAGCGGTAGAACGGTTTGTAAGCCTCTTTGATCTCAGGGCCAAAGGCAGTCCGAAACAAACTGATATTAACAGAATAACTTGGGAAGTTATAATGGGATAAAGGGTAGGAGCATAATTACAATTGCTTGGAGTAAAAAGTTTGGTAAATTTTTTGCATTTTCATCTCAACCAACGCTTACTCATCCCTCATGACTTTATCGCCATGAAAAGATCCGGAAAAGAATGGGCGAACGACGCAAGTCTTGGCCCTAAACCCTGAAATACGAGACTGACAGAAACATATTGAAAAGAAGATAAAACAAAGATAAGGCCGGAAGCGAGAATGTGTGCAAAGAACAGACGACATGAAAATATTAAACAGTGGACAACAAGAGGAAGAAGATAAATTGGCCAACCAAGAAATAGATGGCTGGCTGTCGCCGGAACAGAATGGTTCCTGGGAACCCAAGCGAAGACAATGAAGTACAACCACGGCAGGGCATGGCTCACTTGGGCCACATGCGTCGCGTTGGACACCCCGTGTATGATGCGTCTCACTTGTGACATGAATAATCTTTATCGCGATCCGGTTGCGGGACAAATATCGATTCTCCTGACGACCTCCGGATGATAAATTAATTGCTGGAGCAATCAAGGGCCCTGGTTCCATTGCCCTCCCACAAGTCCTTCGCCGAATAAACTACGGTCGCGTTTTTAAACTGCTACATTAATTTTATGGAAGTTTAACACCAGCCAAATAATACGAAGTGAGGTTTTCGCGGCGAGGAATATGATGATGATATTCTGGGTTATAGCGCCGTGTAGACTCGTCGGTAGATGACAAAGTTTCGGTAGAACATACTGTCTCAGTCTTCAGGCGTGAAGAGACAAAGCTGGAAGGGGGAGATTTATATAGAGCTGGATGGGAAGGGCTAGAAGACTGCATGAAGTGAGTATTAAGCACAGGGACACGAGAAGGGTTGTTTCTCGAGCTAAAAATTACACAAAAATGCACATTTTGGAACACCCGCTATTTTCGACTTTCTTGCGAATGCGTTAGGTTACACTCCTGACACGTATATTCTCACGAGTTTAGTTTGGTTTCCAGCCACGCCCGTTTGTGGCGTATTCACCCTGACAGAATTTAAAAGAGAAACTTGTAGGCTACAAGAATTTAAACTCAAACTTTCAAAGTGATAGAGAAACAACTCAGAATATAATGCACCCCACTTGAAAAAAAGAAACCATTACCATAAAGGTGCTGACATTACCTCAAACTCTTTATAGCCCCCTCTTAAAGTTGTCTTCTAGAAATTCAATTCAATTGAGTAATTTATTATTAGTTTGACAAGACAAGAATAAACACAGAAAGGTAACAACAGGAAAGTGTATCAAAATACCACTAGCATTTCTTCGATCTCTGTCACTCGCATAAAATTGTTAGGTAAGAATTTGCTTTTTTATTATTTATTTACGTTTCTCGCTTTGAATAACTTCCATTTATTAGACACGCATTTATGTTACTTTTCACGTTATATTCTCGGGACATCGCCTTTCCTTCATTAAGTCTTTCCTTTGTTCTTCGAGAAAACTTTCCGACAGTTTCTTTAATCTGTTTGCATACCTGAACTTCTAAATTGCATCGCATGGGTGAGCGTATTGTCAGAATGAACACAAAGGCGATCGGGCCTTTCAGTGTAATTTCGCTCCTATTAAATATATTTAAAACTTTCTCATGCAAATATATAAGTTACAGCCTGACCCAATGATAGCTCAAAGAGTCTTGGCCCCGTCACACTAGGACGTCCAGGCTACATCGGCTAACAGCCTCCTGTTAACTGGATTTCTTGACGTAACATAAAGGCCAGACGTCAACGACTAAACCCCACCCGAATCACTTAATTTAAAATCTTAATATCATAGCCTGTCTCCCTAGGACCCATTCTAATAATACCATTAATCACGTACATTTTAAAGACATTTCCAACATGCGATTTAAATAATCTTATAGGACAAAGCCAGTAATGGCGTGTTAATTTTAAAATAAAACTTCATTTCGCCAATTCGTTTATTCATAGACCTTCCAAATTTCTTCACTACCCGTGGCTTTTCAGCAGCAAAAATTACGTTACCACAGAAAAACACTAACAGAATAGGGTTCATTCAAATAAAGTCAGAAGTGAAGTAGACTACACGCAGCACTGCCAAGCTTGATAAGTTGCCGAGGTACCAAGGCGAAATAATGGCAGCTGAGGCACGTATCAGGCCACTAACTCAAGGGCGTTAAGTGTTATGTGAATTATTCTTGCTTCAGACGGGGGCCCGAAGGCACAAAACCCTGATGACAAAAGTCTAATATTCAGTTCTAACCTGAAAATCTTTAAATCAATCGGAACATTTACTCCCTGTCTCGAGTTTCATTTTAATATTATCTCCCAGCTACTACTAGGTCTCCCAAACGGTCTCTTCCATAACAAAATAATATTCCCACCAAAATTTTGCCTGTTTTTGTGCTGACAGTTTATATTCATGACTTAAAATGTAATTAGCAAATACATTTTGTAACAAAACTTGACAGTTGAGAAAGATTGATGGGGTGTGTAGCACGCACACATGCGAGAGACCACGTGGGAGACAAAAACATAGACGGGAGGACAGCATTCACAGTACAGTGCGATAATATGGACTGGATTCATCTGGCTTAGGAAAGGGCCCGGTAAGGGACTCCCAAGTACCCCCCTCACTCATGGAACCCTCAGGGGGTATTCCTTGACTAGATAAGCAACTGTTAGGTTCACATAAAGGAATCTGGTCCATGGAGTTGGTAACACAACTGAATCTTCAATACTGGTTTTAAAAGAGTTTATCGTTGGTGAAATTCTTGGTACCTGTTCACTTTGGTCTGGAATAGCCAATAACATCGCGAATAATTTCGAGTCGAAGTTCCAGAAGACTACATCAAAGGCGGCAGGACTCCACCGCCCACCAGGCAGCCTCTCTCTCTGCCTGCACAGAATGCGGGTAGCATACCCGACCCACGCGGGCTCTAAGATCCCACGGTTCGCGCCGTGGCAGCGTCTTTAAAACACATTTAACTCCGACGGCTCTGATCTGCTTCACCGCTGTTCAAGCGAAGCCTCTTATAAGAATCCGAGATTACACTACGTCATATTCGAAGCTCCCCTTGAAATTCCACACGAGTAATAAGATTTAGCCCTGTCTATTCTTCGTTTCGTCTCGTCTCACAATTCCTACGCTACTATCCTCAGCTGCGCAAAATTTTTGAGTAACGCAAGTCACTAAACATCTGTGTTCGGAAGGCTTCCCAGCTATATGACGTCATAAAATCACCATGAAGTATGGCGTATAAATGTCGCCACAGTAGAAACTCCCGTTGCCCTGACTCTGTGGTTCCAAAAGTCAATTATAATAACAATTTGTAGGATTTGAGGTTTTCAAAGCGGTGAGTCTGAAGAATAATAAAAATTGACGCAAAACTACGAGAAAGACTCAGCGAGTGAACAGAGTTGAATTTAAACCACGTGGTTTCGTTCCTTAAAAATGAAAACATTACTTTTCAGCTCACCCTCGAATTATGAAAGCTGCCAAATCACTTCGTCACTTACCTGTATATAGGATGTTGCATGAGAAGCAAGCTGTTTTCATCCATCCATTGTTTTTTCTGAAAGAAGAAAAAGTTATGCGCCATTAGACATCAATCAACAACCTACGAAACTGCCACAAGAGCAAAGTGTATTAATTTATTTCACTGGCGATTATAATGCGTTATCTGTTTCTGGACTCTTTCTGCGCAGTCACTTGAGAATATAATAAGTGGATAGCAAGTCAAAACGCGTGCTCTTCACAGGAACAGGGTGTGTGAGGGTCGCTTCGGGTCGTTAGCAACATGCCCGTCCCAGTAACATTCAATATTAACATAGGACATGTAGCAGTTACGGTAAGGAGTCCGGATGAGACTGAAGTTTTCACGCGCATGAAAATGAGGACCCTCATCTGGGCCAAACGCTCCTCTGCGTCATAACCCACAATCAACAAAGAAGATCGAAGTATCTCAATGTCCACCTCACGACTTTCCTCATCCACCAATGTGTTATTACCGGTCGTCGGACATTCAAAAGTACGATTTTGAGGCCGTGCAGAATGGCAAAACCTCCAAACCAAATTTAAACCAAATCCGTCCAATGGTACTCGAGTTAAATCGACTGGACGGACAAGACCAGTCCAAATGTGATCTCGCCCTGCACTTCTGTTATGTGACAATGTTTTTTCAACAATATACGCGGGTCATGCGAGCTGCCTACAGTTCGTAGTAGAGACGGACGGGCCCATTGGCGTTCTTAGCTCACGCGTACGAATTGGCCTAAAGACGAAGACAGTTTGACTGAGGGACCGATGGAACAACAAACGAGCTAAAGGTCGTAGGCTAGTTTGAAAAATGTGTGCGTGAGATTTAAGTATGATTTAAAGTCTGAATTCTATTTAGTGTTACCGTTTCAGTAATCTGAGTGTGTTCTAGAGCCCCCGCTCTCCGAATTGCAACTGTTTCTCCAACCGCTGTTACCACAGACGCAGAACAAGAAGCCAGAACGCACGCACAAAACTCATTAGAACTTCACTAACTACGTGTAGGACGAGAAGTGTCAAAGCCTTGTTGCTAGGATACTGAATGCTTTCAAACTGTTCTCAGCTCTGCACGCATATGCACTTTTAGAATCGTCCCGACTAGTCACATGTCCCTGTCTTGTTTTAAGCACGTTACATACACAAGTACCTATTTAATAACGATACTATAAAACTCCCGTCATGAATGACGGGGAAGTCTAAGGCAGTATATTTAAAAACAATTTCGAAAAGTGTAACAAACAAGCAAACAAACATTTAGAACAACGTAAGCTGCAAACTTGTACATCAATTTCGCTGCGTTGTACAGAAGCAGTGAACTAAGTAGGCCATGGATGAGTGAACAGTCTTTTGTTTCAAAGTGCTGTTTCCAAAATGCAACATAATATTAAAATTAAGTAACATATTACTTATCTTTGCCAAATTAAAGAAGAGCTGTGATATAATTTCGTAGTCTCGCAGTCTCACACATATCCTATAGAGATTATAACAACCTCAAAAAGTGCATTCCGTACTGGAATAAACATAACAACAGCACGCGTTCTTTGAAACGTGCATTTAGAGATAACAAATCCGCCCTATTCGATAATTCCCACTTTGGCCACCAGATCGCTGCACCTCAACGTCCACCTCACGACTTTCCTCATCCGTCATCTTGTTATTACCGCTCACAGGATATTCTGAAATTCGAATCTGAGGTCGTGCAGAATGGCACAACCTCCATATCAAATTTCATCCAAAATCCGTCCAGTGATTATCGAGCTGAATCGACGAGACGGACAGACATAACCAAACCATAATGCATCCTCGCTATGCACTTCGTGCAAAAAACGCATAATTGTGCATAGAAGGCCTTGTTTAACAGCTTTACCATGGCAATGGTTACAATTTTACTGCACAAAGTACAAAATCCCTAAGCAGCAAATGATAACCATACCATGCCAAAGTTAAAATAACAGATCTTCATAAATATTATCGCATAAGGCTCAAAAACCCCAAACAACAGTAATGATAACCAACACTGCTTGTCATATAGACAGATAATCACATCAGAATTACATCATTGTGCGTTCTTTGCATGATGTGCATAAAATGAACGCATATACGACTGGTTATGTCTGTCCGTCCGCACAATTCAACTCGAAAACCACCGGACGAATTTGGATTAAATTTGGCATGGACGCCATGCCATCGCAGACGACACTAAATTCGAAACTTTCATTATTTTACAATCGATAGCACCAACATGGCAGACGGACAAACTTGTGAGGTGGGACCGGTACTTGCGCCACTAACAATTGAGCCATACAATTATTTATAAAAAAAAATTCGGAAAATAAGGAGACTGTAAGCAAACACTGCAGGAAAAAGAATTACAAATTTACATGAAAATATTAACTGTCACCTGGTACTTAGAATAAGCATAATTTGTGCAAAGTAATATTGTCATATCGTATGAACCGGATAAAATTAATTTGAATCGAATGAGTCTAAACTCAATCAGGACTACCTGCTGAAAACACTGAACTATTTTCGTGTAGGTAAACGTACTGCAGTAACATTGCGCCAAGAAAATGTCATGTAAGTACGTAATGTTAAAATTGTCCGTTCAAATCGACTCTTCCGGAAGACTCTAAAATATAAAATTTAATCGACAAAACCAGAGTTTTTCCATGCGTACCGAGGGACGCGCTGATTTTAACAGAATATCTGCAGCGTTGTGAAGGCGCCTGAAACTCGCATGAATGCGGGAAACTACCATTTTAAAGCAGTTCCTGTTATAACTGAGAGCAAAAACAAGGAGATCGTGACATTTGGGAATAACTGCGTACTTTAATTAGTGGGGGCAGGAAGGCAGTTTAATTTCATTGCGACGACAAAGTTAATGGTTTCAACAATAAATGTTAGCTCTACGACTGTAGCGCGCACTCCCAACAAAACTTTAAACAGTTGTTCTGAAGTTAAACTGCCAACTACTTGTATGTCTCTGGTAACTGTACACGTTAAAAGACATTTTACAAACTGGTGAGTTGTGACAGTTTATTATGTATCAAATTATGTGTCTAGTTCACGAATCTTTATAATTATTATTCCTCGAGTCATTTATTACATTCCCTTAATGCACCCATCACTGAAAAATTATTTTAAAACTTACGAGGTGCGATCGGAAAGTTTCAAGACTGTGTCAATAGAGGGCGAACCGGATGTAGTACGAGCTTCTGCCGCTAGGGGGTGCGGCCTACATTCATAGTGAATCAGTGTGCCAGCCGGCATCATCGAATTAGCATTTGTTTCTTAGTTACGGGCGGTTTGGTAGTGCATTACACCGACCCTCCTGCGATTTCGGAATGGCGGATTTTCATGAACAAATCAAATTTTGCCAAAGACTCGCCAAAACGGCTACGGAAACCTATGAAATCCTAAAGCAAGCATTTGGGGAGTCCGCAATGGGTCGTGCACAAACTTTTGGGTGGCATTCACGTTTTAAAAATGGCCGAACCCCTG